AGTGACTTTTTATGGCAGTTAAGATAAAGTCCAAGCTCCCTCACATGGTCTGCATAGTTTGACCTGCTCGAGTCTTTGCAGGGTTCTTTCAGCCCATCTTTGGTCATTGTTTCTTACACTCACCCTCTGTATTTCTTCAAACACTCTGCTTTTTCTTGCCTGGGATCTCTTACATATGCTCTTTCTATTGTTTCCATTGCTCTTTTCATAGCTATGCATTTTTCTTATTCCAAGTCTTAGTTTAGATGTTAACCTTTCAGTAAAGAAACCTTCCCTATTCAGCCTTTTTAACATAGGTCTGTGCTGCTTCCCCAAGATTTCCTACCTTAACACTCCTATTTTCTTCCTCACAACACTTATGATAGTTCCCATTCTTTTTTTTTTTAATGTCTTTTCATCTGGAATGTATATCAAGGACCATATCTGACTGACTTACTTCTGTACTCCTAGAAATCTAACAACTATTTCTGGCATTGATCAAATATGTAGTAATTATTGTATGAATGAATGAAACCTTTTTCTTTCATTATTTTTATTTAAGAGCTTAACAATCTTATTCCTTAACCTTTTTTGCCCCCTGTCTGATAATTTATTTAAGTTGATGTCCTATAACTTTTTATATCTGTTACCAGATTTCCTAGGGATATGTATCAAATATTTAGGAGAAGTTAGCAGTTTTTGGTACATTTTAAATTGGTGTACATAATCTTTTAGGGTATTTTTGCTACATCAGAAATTTGGGTGGATAATTATAAAACACAACAGTACCTGGCTTGTAGCAGGTGTTACGGAGGTTTTGGTTAAATAAAATATGGATCAAGATTGGAAGTTTTATAAAGCATAAATATCCTACCTGTAATATATATAAAACTACAGAAAAAAAAATTGTCCCTTTAGAAAAAAACAACTTCTCTTACTGTTATCTTTTAGAAAATATTATGGATTGAAAATTAGTTTACCCAGAATAATGTGCTTTTACACCTCTAATAGTCAGATAATGCTATTTAATCAGAGTTTTTAACAAGTTATGTTTGTCATAGCTTTTTGGGCAGCACTTTGAGGTTACAGACAGATTTCAGATCCTTTAATTATTTTGTATTGTATATTAGAGAAGAGAGCATTTATGATAAACATGTGGCTCTTTTGGTTTTGTAATTACTTATAATACTGCTTCACAAAATTGTAATGATGTCCAAATTGCTTGGCAATATTAGCATTTCTTAGATGGATTTATTTTTAACTTATAATAATTGTATTTATATAACACTGATATTCTGTATCAGTAGATTTTGAAAATTTGATCATGAGCAACTTTTGTATAAACCTTTGGTATTCATTGTTTCAAATAATTTTGAACATTTTTTGTAGTATTTATTTTTCAGAGCAGTGTTAGATTTACAACATGCCCCCTGCCTCCACACATGCATAGCCTCTCCAGTTACCAACATCCCCCACCAAAGTAGCACATTGTTATAATTGATGGACTGATATTGACACATTCTAATCACCTATGTCCATAGCTTACATTAGGTTTCACTGGTGCTGTACATTCTAGGGGTCTGGACAGATTTATAATGACAGATGCCCACCATTGTAGTTTCATTCAGAGTAGTTTTACTGACCTAAATCCTCGGTACTTCCTAACTCTTATGCCATGCATTTTTTTATTGTCCCCATAGTTATACGTTTTTCCACAGTGTCACATACTTGTAATTATGTGGTGTGTAGCCTTTTCAGACTGGCTGCTTTCATTTAGTGATACGCATTTAAATATCCTCCATGTGTTTTCACGGCTTGATAGCTCACTTCTTTTATATGTGGTGAATAATGTTCTGTTTTCTGGATATAAAGAGTTTATCAATTCACCTGCCGCAGAACATCCTAGCAGTTTCCAAATTTTGTCAATTATTAGTAAAGGTGCTATAAACATCCATGTGTCAGTTTTGGTGTAATTGGTCTACCTTTAAGTTAGTTATTTTAATTGGTAGAGTTCTACAATAAGTTTAGGTAACCATTTTCTTTTCATAACGACTAGTGTACAAAAGAAAAGCAATGAAGTCGAAGTGAGTCATAAGTAAATTAATATGTGTTTTATTTTTAAAAATTATAACATTAATTCATTGTTATAAAACATTTAATTTGGAAATATCAGGAGTAAAGAATTAAGTACCCTCATATATTCTGTTTTACCCTTCTCGGAGTTAACCACTGTAAAAACTTTACTTTTTACTCTCCTGTAACTTTTTCTGTTTATGTGGTAGACAGTACATGCTCAAACTCAAACTCACAGTTTTAAAAACATATTTGGTTTATGCTACACATATATTTTTTCACTTCACAAGATAACATAATATGTTTTCTGTCATACCTTTAGTTATTCCTCATTTAAAATAATTGAATGATAATCTTTATTGCAGGTTTCCCAAAGTTAATTTAAGCATTTCGTTTTCATGAGGAGATAAGTTGCTTAGCATTTTCTCTTCCCCTTCTTACTCCTTTCCTTTTTTCTTTTCCTTTTTCAGATAATGCTGCTGGTATTGAACATCCTTTATAAATTGTTTGTATGCATGCATTCATATAAATTTTAATATCTTGTAGCATAGATTCTTAAAAAATGGGATTACTTTGTAAGAAATGCATTTTTAAATTCTGATACGTACAGATTGGCCCTTTGTTGCGATCCTTTTTATTTCCTGTATATGAAACCTTCTTAGAAGAGGCTTCAATAATGACAATTTTGTAAACATACAAATTCACTCATTATCATGTTTGCCAACATGACAGTTGAAAAGAATGTCTGATTATTGTCCTAATTTTTATTTCTTTGTTAGCAAGGTTGAGCATCTCTTAATAAGTTTATTGGCCAAATTATACTTTTCTTTGAATTATCTGTTCATATATTTTATTTTTTTAAAGTTATTTATCCATTTGCCACCTTGATATCCTCATTTCTGTATCTAATGGAAATCTCAACTTGACAGGATTTAAGTTTATTTTTTTTCTCAGTTTTCCTCCTACCGTTTCATTCTTCCTATTGCTTACACTTAAAACCTTGGAGTCATCTTGGCTTGTTTTTTTCTTTTATTATGCATCTTGTCCATCAGTAAATCCTCTGATGATAATATCATGGTATTTATTATAATACTAGAGGCCCAGTGCATGAAATTTGTGCACGGGTAAGGTCCCTAGGGCTGGCCGGTGATCAGGGCCGATCTGTGGGGCGATCAGCAGGATGATCAGGGGTCCTTCGCTGGCACCCACCTTGGCTAGGCTGGCACCGCCCGCTTGCCGGCCTCACCCTCCAGCCCCGTCCCCCACCACTGCTGCTGGTGCCTCCCTCTACAGGGCAACTGGCAGAACAATCGCCTGGCACCCGCCTTGGCTGGCCTGGAGCCTGGGAGCTGGGGGCAGCTCCTGCATTGAGCATCTGCCCCCTGGTGGTCAGTGTGTGTCATAGTTGACTGGTCGTTCCACCAGTCATTCCACCGTTTGGTCAATTTGCATATTAGGCTTTTATTACATAAAATTAGCTATATTGCTGAAATGGATACAGAATTTCACCACTTCTTACTACTTCTATTGCTGCTATCATCTCTCACAAGTTGTTTTAATGTTTGATCCATATAGTCTGTTTTCTATATAGCAGCCAGAGAAATTCTTTCAAAATATGACTGTATTTAGAATCCACTATCATATCCCAGCTCCCTCAGTGTAAAACCCAACCTCCTTCTCAGGGCCTTTGTAAGGGGCCTGTATGATTGGTCCCTATTGATAGCTCCAGCCTTGTCTCCTACGCCTCTCATTGACTCTGCTTTAGCCACCCTTGCATCTTTTTTCCTGTTTCTTGATCATCCTAAGCACACACCTAACTTAGCAGTTCTGCATTATTGTTCTATCTGCCTAGAATACTCTGCTCATGGATGTCTCCCAAAGTCTTCTTTTAAACAAACATTTTTAAAATTTCTAATGTGCATAATGTGGTAGATATAGACTGTGGAATTATAAGTATGAGAAAAAAAGGTCTGTGCTCTTTGCTTTAAGGTATTATAAATTTAAGTATAAATGCAAATAGATACCAGGTTGGGAGAAGAGGGATGTCTATATAGCAACTGTCATTCTCATAGTGGTGATATGGTATCCCTTACCTTGGAGAACATTCTAGCATCATCAAACTTAATTTAGTAAAAGTCTTGTAAAGCATGATCTGATTGGTTTATTTTATGCTACTTAAAATTATACATATAAACTATACGTTTATTTTATGCTACTTAAAATTAAACATATAAGTTATGTTTGCATTTATATAAAATGATTAAGTATATATGAATCTTCTAGGTATGTTAGAAATTATTAAATTAAGTAATTTCTGAAATTTTACATTATAAAAACTTGAAAATCTCTAATATATTTTACATGAACAAAGTTTTTCATAACACAGAGGATGGAATATCACACTTCATTTTCTTAATATATAAATATGCCTTTTATGCAATCATACTTCTTTTGGTTACCATCAAAGTCAATTTTTAGAATTGAGAGGTTCTATAGGTAAGCTTTTGTTATCAAGAATATTCACATATGGGAAGACCCATTTCCCATCAATTTTGTGTGAATCCGGTTCCATGTAGTTGAATTTTTTTTCAAGTAAAGTTTTTATTGAGAAATTGACAGTCTTTTTGGTTACAACTTAATTTTTACAAAGTGAGTACATCCAAGTATTCAATAAATAAAACCCCTGTTGCTCCACAAACCCACCTTCCAGTCTTCAATTCCCAACAAGAGTAACCAACACCCTCCTGACTTTTAACAGTTTCATTTTGCTTACTTTTGAATAGTTGCAAGTATAAGTAATTCTATAAGATAAAACGATCTACGCTATATTATAATCGCATGTAGTTTTAATTTTAAGCAAGGAAAGAAATAAACTTGAAAATATTTTCTGTATATTTTTTAATTACCAGGTACATTTCTGTTAAATAACTAGCTGTTCTTATCCTTAGAATCCAGACCATTGTCAGTTCCTGTGAAGGCCATGCTGAGTATGACTGAAGGCTGTAGAAGTCCTGAAGAAAGAATGAAAGAATTTATTGGAGCAGTATGGAATGCTGTGAAGAGGCTCACACTGCAGGTAAAATAAAAATTAGAAATATTGTGCTAACTAACATGTCCTTTTTAATTTTCAGCACCATTTTATGGATAAATATTTTTCATTGGTAACACTTATGGAAACCATTTTATTTCCTTAATTTAAGATAAAGACTATTGGTGCACTTTGCATGTTATTAACAAAATGGTATGAAACACATGTTACATGAACTTTCTGATAAAGTTCTAAAAATACACAAATTTTGAGATGTTTCTTGAATTAAAAAAAATTCATTTTACTTCTTTATTTCTTTTAAGCTATAAAAATAGAAAAATTTTAAGATGTACCTTGAATTAAAAAATTCACACTACATTTTTATTTCTCTTAAGCATTATTTGAAAGAATTTAAATGCCTAATGTACAGATCACATTCTTATCTCAGTAATGAGATAAAAACTTAGTTGGAATTAAATTAAAATAAAAGGGTTATCTAATATTTTTCCTACCTAGTCACAAATTAAATATGAAGATGATAAATATAATTATTTACTTATTTGATTAGATATGTCATGTTTTATGTGATGAAAATGCACAATTAAATGCTTATTGATTCTCACAGGAATTAGGTAAAAATAACTCAACAGTTACACATGTTTAAGGGTTTGTATAGAATTTTTTCTCTTTGAATAAAATATGAAAGATTGATATCAATGATTTTATGTGTGCCAGACAGTAATACCTAAGTAATGGGGCTTTCCACTTATGTTTAAGATATAGAAAATTGCGAAATAAGTTGCTCTCACATAAAGAACAAGTGCAAGGTTGATGATCTACAAATTATACCAGGATGCTTCACCCACAGAAATGGCAAGATAATGCATATGTGCTGTTTTTACCTACTACACTTGCAGTAATTTGTTATGCAGCATAGAAAAATAATACAGACTGACGTTATGCTTAATTATAATATATTCTGATTACTATAATGAAAACTTACCTATTCAAACACTTTTTAGAAACATATCTAACAACTATTGCAGTTGCCTAGTATCAGTTAGGGAATGTGATTACTTGAAATACTATCTAATACAAGAACCAATAACCTGGATATTGGCAATTCTTTACAGCCTCTCTTTTCTGAGCATGTTGCTTGTAAGAAAATTAAGAGAAGAGTGGAGGAAAAAAGTATGTTTTCTCATTCTTTTGTGGTTGTTTTAACTCTTTACCTTGCAGGAAATATGACTTTCTCACAGACATCAGCTATGTCTCACCAATCTCACCCAGCATGAGGCCTTTCACAATTAATACAGTACTAATAGCTCCTTGTGTTGGTTCCTCAGTTCTCCTTTTCTTTCCATGCACTGGTGGCATCAGATAGGATGGATGAGACAGCAGGAAAGCAGGAAACATTTAGAGCCTTTATGCTGTATGTGACTGTAGAAGCAGAAGATACACAGTACTCTTAAGATGTTGCTGAACATTTATATTCATTGTTAATCTCTTTATAATAAAACACTACCTCCTTATATATAATCTTTCATTATTTATCACTTAGTACTTGTATAAACACTTATCCATGCCCTGTTCATGTTAGAGCTTAACTAGACCATTTGTGGTTTCGTTCCTGATTACTATTTATATTAATTCACTTAAATACATGTAGTTTTTATTATGATAAAATCTTTAATCTCAGAGGGACTCATTATTGATGGGAATGAGAATAGCATATGGGCAATTTTATTTCGGTTATATTCCCTCCGTTTGGTCAAACTCAATCTGTATTCTCAGCTTACGCTAGTCTGTGTTCACAAGAAAATCACATGAGAAGTCCTCTTGTGTTTCTAGATAATGCCTTTATATGCTCTTCTAATTTCACTGATTTAATATATTCTGTTTCTGTTTAAATCACCAATAAAGTAAGTGTTTCTTACTGATGACTACTACATATCATCTTGTAACATACTACTTTAGTGGTCTTTTAGAAAGAGTAATCTGTGGTGTATTTAGCAGTCAGTAAAGGTCAATACCATAATGACTAGTAAGTAGTTGAGAAGATGAGTAACTACGAAAAGCCCATATCTCTACTATAATAATTATGAAAATAATAGTGAATTTATCTGATTATAGTTCAATTTGAAGTTCTGAATTATGGTTTGACACAATACTGTTTTATGGAAAAAGGAATAATCCAAATATGAGATCTCACTCAAGTGCTTTTCCTTGTTCATCGTGCTTTTCTTTAGCACTTTAAGTCAGTTGTGTTCAGGAGTTAGTGGTATTTGGGTTTCACTGAATTCTGACTAAGAACTGTGGAAGGAAAACTATATTTTTATTTTCTGAGACTTATTCAGAGTAAAATATACCTTCATGGATAACATCTCCCTTGAATTTTGATGTCTAGCCTGCTAGACAAAATTTGCCTTCTTTTTACTTTTTTTAATCTATAGTTTTCTCTTCTAAGTAACACAACTCTTTTCTTTTTTTGCTCAATTTTCCTTCTTTATTCTAGTGAAAGTGTTTTGATACCAAAGTAAGCTTGTATAACATTCATTCATTTTACAAATATATTCTATGATAGTGGGTCTATAGCAGGTCTCTTGGAGCTTATGTGTCTTTTTAAAATAAATTGCCTGTAGTCTCCTCAGAGATAGCCCTGGAGTTCATGATGAAGTTGGAATATAATTTCAGGAATTTCTCCAAGGTCCTACTGCTCCTTAATATATCCTCCTGGCTTTCTGAAATTCCATATATCCTTTCTTTTTTTCTTTTTTTTTTTTTTTAGTTGTTTTTCTTTTTACTCAATTTATTGGGGTAACATTGGTTAATAAAGTTATATAGGTTTCAAATATATAATTCTATGATACATGATCTGTATATTGCATTGTGTGTTTACCACCCAAAGTCAAATCTTCTTTTGTCACCATTTATTTGACCTCCTTTACCCTACATATATATCTTTTCTGATAATTGATATATCTTTTAAAAATTCCATTAAAATATAAGTACCTAATAATCGTAAGCATACTAACCTTTTAATGCCATAGTATAAACTTGTTTACTTTTTTAAAATATATTTTTATTGATTTCAAAGAGGAAGGGAGAGGGAGCGAGAGAAACATCAATGATGAGAGAATCATTGATTGGCTGCCTCCTGCACGCCCCCTACTGGGTATTGAGCCCACAACCCGGGTATGTGCCCTTGACTAGAATAGAACCTAGGACCCTTCAGTCCCCAGGCCAATGCTCTATCCATTGAGCCAAACCGACTAGGGCTAAATTTGTTTACTTTTAAAAACAGTTAGTTTGGTAGCAGTAGATTATGGAATTCATTTATTATTCTTTCATTTATTCTCACATTCAGCATTTACTTTTTATTATGTATCAAGCTAGCTGCTGAGTAGATGAAAGAAACATATTAGTTCTCTTGGTTTAGCAGGAAAAAAGCAAAGAGCCATTGTATGGGAAGCACCTTTTGGAAGCCTCTCTTAGAGGGGTCCCTTAGAAACTCTTAGGGGCCTAAGGAGAAATGGGAATGTGATGAATTTAAATCCTGTCCCATTGAGTAAGTGTTTACTGATTTGTAGAAGAACTAGATGACACTATTACATTATCTAGAATATAATAAATATCGAGAATATTTAGCTGTTTGAAGTTTACTTTGGTCCTAAAATTTACTTCATGATATAAGTAGTTTTATTAAAAGTAACCTTATTCCATTTGTCCATTATACACAGCCAAAAATGACCAATTTAGTGTAACTACCCTTAATGATATCATTTTGAGTAGTTGTGTAATAAAAGATTTAAAAATAGATAGTATTATGTTACGTGATTATTTGACAGCTCTAGGAAAATCTTAAAATTTATGATTCCAAATGATGTAAGAAATCTTTATGGTTCTTGTAAGCTCACCATAGGCACATGAACCTTCCACAATGTACGATATACTGAAGAACATCCTCCTCTGCCCAGGTGAAGTAGCAGGGACAAGATTTATCTTGCTACTTGAAACAACCAAACATGGACAAAGGATGTTATATAATGATTTCAAAACACTGGACAGTAGGCCCAGTTGCACAGTGATCCCCAGGAGGCCTAAGTGACTAATGGGTTTGGAGGATGAGAGGAAGGAAGCTAAGTGGTATTCTACATTTTGGTTTTGGCTAGTGATGCCATTAGTGATAGAAAAAGCTTTTTAGGCAGTGTTTAGGTCAGATAGGGAGATTGAATTTACACTTGCATTTGAAGTGTTTGTAAAATATCCAGCTACCTCTTAGACAGTAGGATATTCCTATCTGCAGATTAAAAAAGAGATTCACAGTAGAGATACAATTTTTACATACTAGGGCCCCGGTGCATGAATTCGTGCACCTTGAAAGGAACTGTGGGCCCTGAGGCTGCGGTGGGCACAGGGGCGGGTCTTGTCCCATCCTCCGCAACCCCGCCCAACCCCTCCCACCGGGGCCCTGGTCCTCTGACTGCCGGTCCCCTGTCTGCTGGCAGCCCCAACCCTGCTGTTGCCACTCCCACACACTGACGGTGCCACCCCACTCACAACTGCTGATGGCATGGAGCAATTGGGACTGGTGCCAGCAGTGGGTGCGAGTGGCCTGTGCTGCCCCATCACCCCTCAGGAGCAGTAGGAGGTGGAAAAGCCCTCAGGGGCGATCGGGGCCGGGGAATTTTCAGTAACCACCAGAGGCTCGCCCGATGACAGCGACCTGCGCCCCGCCTTGGTCTGGCGCCCCCACTCACCTTCTCCACTATCCCGTGCGGCCAATGCCCACCATGTTATGCGTGTGCCACCTGGTGGTCAGCACACACCATAGTGACCGGTGTTTCAGTTGTTCTGTTGTTCTGCCTTCGGTCTGTTTGCATATTAACCTTTTATTATATAGGATGGTTAAAACCAGGTGGATGGGTCATTCAAAAGAGTATGTAAAATTTAGAGAGCAATGGGCCCAGGAATACCAATTTTAAAGTAGTCAGTAGAAAAGACAATGTCCTTGAAGTAAGGGAGTGATCAGAATGTAAGGGAGTGAT